CCTCTCTGCCAGCTCCCAGGGCACCTGCAGACCCCAAACCACAGCACATGGCAGCTGAGTGCCCACCTGGAGCTCAGCCCTGCCGGGAGGGGAGGCAGGAGCTGCCCACGGTGTCTGCTGTGATCTCACCCCCTCCCCTGCGTGCCAGGGCTGCGAGGGGAAGCCCAGGGCGAGTCACCAGGAAACGCATGCAAATGCTGCAGCCTGAGAAGCCCGCTCAGGAAACCCCCAGCCCAACCTCCCCGGGCTCTCAGACACCCTCTGCCCCTTCTTGTGGCCCAGCACAGCCAGCCTGGCACTGCCAGGGGGCACAGCAGCCACACAGGGCAGCTTCAGAACCCTGGGAGTGAAAACTCCCACGGCACAGGGAAAAAAAAAACAAAACCAAAACCGGAAGACAGGCTGCTCACACCATATAAAGACAAAAAACAAAGCTGCTTTCTGGCCTGGTTTTGGCTGGTTTTCTTACAATAACAGAGCCAACTCGCTCTGTGCCAGACTGACAGTGTCAGGTCCAGGTAGGTCCTTGGCACTGCTCTCCAGACAGGCACAGGTTTGTACAACTGCACTTCCAAAGTGGGAAACAGCTCTCAAAACCCGAAATTCCTCACCCAGCCCAGCAGCAGAGCAACTCAGCTGCTTCCCTCACCTACCTGGCTTCATCTCTTGGAGATTGTGAGCTCTCAAAACCCAAAATTCCTCACCCAGCCCAGCAGCAGAGCAACTCAGCTGCTTCCCTCAGGTACCTGTCTTCATCTCTTGGAGGTTGTGCTCAGGGCCACAGCATCAAGCAGCTTCAAGTCCTCACAGCAATGCCAGAAAATTCTGCTTCTCCCCAGCCTCTCCTTTAATACCTTGGTCCCATTTAAGCTTTCACACCCTTGATGGGTGCTAACAGGACCAAGCTGGGCCGTGCCATTCCTGGATTGCCAGCCTCCATCAGCTGTGGCCACTAGCACTGCCCTGTAGTAAACAGAGTGTTGTGAGGAGCCACACACAGCATAAATCTCACTCATTTGTTCTGTCAGCACCAGTGGATTTGAGCCCGTGTTTGAACTGTTTTCCCAAGCTCCCACCAGCCTTGGATGGGAGCAGATTTGGGGAAGCCAAAGCCCTGGGCAGAGTCTCCCTGGCTGCACTGAAAGTCTGTCACAGGCGCTGCTGCTGGACCAGCAAAAGGATAAGGAAGAGGTTTAGATGGGATTTGAGGTGTGATTTCTCACCACACTGTGACAGTCACACACCACGACCTTTTCTCCTTCCCCATCCCGCTGTGACTGTGGAGCTGGGGAGTGGGCTGCACTTCAACATCACCTCCAGACAACTCTCAGTGCCCTTTCTGCTACCCTGGAGCCAGGCAGAGGAAAAAACCCAGGTGCTAACCAGGCCAGGAAGATTTGCCTGTGTGTGACTGGGTGTAATGTTCTTTTTTTTTCAGCGTAATGGCATCACACATCCTTGTGGGCCTGCCAGTCTGATCCTGGGGTGACTAATTCAGGATAGTCCCTAAGCCTCAGTACGCCCTGCACCTCTGCAGCGCAGATGACAACAGGCAAAAGCTTTGAGACAAGGGAATTACCCAAGGCACATCTAATCTGGAGCTCTGTGTCTGTCTGCCATGTGATAACTGGGTAGGCTGTGTCCCCCGAGTGTTGCATCTTTTGGGGGGAGCACACAGGGCTCCTGTGCTGTGTCCCCAAGGGCTGGCAGGGACACCCCTGGCTGTGGGGACTGTGCTGTGCCATGACTTGTGTTCAACTTGGGGTGGTTTTGGTGGCATTTTGGGGACCCAAAAAGCTGGGCTGTGTGTCCCCATGGCTGCTCTGCAGGGCACAATGGCCATTGTTTGCCTTCGGGGTGGGTGAGCAGCCTCTGGCTTGGGAGGAACAAAGCTCGGAGCCAGTTCCTGCAAACACAAACCATGCCTTTTTATCACTCCATGGCAAATTGGTTTGTCAGCAGCAGGAAGTGATGTTACTGCCGTCCTCAGCGAGGGGAAACTCCTCGTGGTTTCCATGGGGATGTATGCAACTGGAGAGCTACAGATTTATACAGACTGAAAGCCCCACACACTTTATACAGACTTATACAGACCGAAAGCCCCACACACTTTATACAGATTTACACAGACCGAAAGCCCCACACACTTTATACAGATATAGACAGACTGAAAGCCCCACACACTTTATACAGATTTATACAGACCGAAAGCCCCACACACTTTATACAGATATAGACAGACTGAAAGCCCCACACACTTTATACAGATTTACACAGACCGAAAGCCCCACACACTTTATACAGATTTATACAGACTGAAAGCCCCACAAACGCCTGCTGCGAGCCAGGATTCTGGGGATTTGGTACCACGGGATGGTGTCAGCTGAGTTCTGCTAGCACAGGGGGACAGCCAGCTCATGTTGAGGCAGAGAAATGGGAATTTAAAGCCCTAAACTGGGGTGAACTTAATATGTGTGCCTTAATATTCCAATCAAACAAAGCAGCAGAGCTGGGAGAATAATTAAGGAGTGGAAAGTAAAATTCTTCCACGAAGTTCAGCCTGGCTGTGGCACCAAGGCATCCTCCTCCTCCTCTGGCTCTCATCCTGCTCCTTCCCCATCCCTCCCAGCAAACCCCCCAGCTGATCCCATCCATCTCCCCAGAACCGCCCCACTGAGGTGACATTTGGCAGTCCCGCTCTGGTCCCTCTCTCCCCCATGTCCTCCCCTTCACACCGGCAGCAGTTTGGGATCTGGGTGCGATCCCATCCACAAAAAGCCCGCAGGAGTCTGAGACCGGGCAGCGCCAGAGTCGGATTTCAGGGAGCAGCAGAGGGATCCCGAGAAAGCCTTGGAAAAGGGCATCGGGTGGTGGCAGCAGGGCTGCCCAGCTGCTGCTCACAGCAGGCTTTGTGCTGAAGCAGCTCTCTTTTGCACCCCTCGGTCAGGTGCCTGCTTAGGTTCTAAAAGCTGATCTGCTGCCAGGTAATGAGTTTTATTGTTCCAAGAAACACATAAACAAGCTCCCGCGGCTGTCAGGGAGCGGATTTCTGTTTGAATTGTGATTAACAGGCAGGACTTTTTTTTATCAGTTGCATGGCCAGGGCTGCCAAGGTTGTATTTTTCCACTGAACAAGCTCTGCTTTGCTTTGAAGGTGAAAGTTTGTTCCACCCTTTACTGCAGGTGTAAAAAGGCTCCCGTATTCAGAGACAGTCTTGCATATTTAATCAGGACAGCAATGGCAGGTTCGAGGTGCCAAGGGATTTTCCATGGACAAAGGGGTTTTGTAGGATTTGCAGCACAGGACAGGTTTTGGGGAGGACACTCTTTTTGAGGTTTGGGTACGCTTCAGGAAAATATGAGTTCCTAACTTCACTTCTCAGTGCCCAGGGATCTCTCCTCTTTTAGCTGCTCCATTTTCCCCCTCCCTTGGTGTCAGGTTGGAAGTCGGTGAGGGCTGACGTGCGGTGCTGACGACAGAGCTGCTGCTTCAGAGGGGCAGCTCACGTGGAAGAACTTCAGAGGCAGCAGTGCATCATCCCGGCCTTCAAGGGCACCTTCTCCCAGGAGAACAGTCCTGGATTTTAGCACCATTAATACCCCAGGTAACTTGCAGCATTGCAGCAGGAGTTTGTGGTGCTGTCTTGCTGTGTGACGAGAGAACAGCTGCTTTAGGCTCACAAAAACCTTCACCTGTACACTGAAAATCACAAGTGATTCAACTCCTTGATTTTACAGTCACAAGCTGCTGTGTGTGCCCGAGCACAACCCTTTTTGATGGGGCAAAAGTTGGATTTGACCCTTTGAATATCAGATATGCAGGAAGTGGTCGCTCCTTTCTGGAGCGAGTATGGGAAACACAAAGTGCTGCTGCTCCCTCAGCATCCCTCTCCCTGGTACCAGCATTGCCCTGCCTAGGAAATCAAGCTCCCAGCTGCATCCCACAGCCCTCAGCTTCCCTGGGAAGGGGCTGTCACAGCAGGGATGCTGTCCTGCCCCACAGAGCCCATGTGAGGTGCAGTTCTGTCACAGGAACCCTGTGCTGCCCATCTCCCTGCTCCTGCTGGAGCTCCCCTGCCTGGCTTTGGCTGTGCTGCATCACCTCTCCTCATTGCCTCAACAGAAACACCAGATCCAAGTCACTCTAGTGATAATCTCCAGCAGGAAAGAATTTATTTGGGTCTGTCTGGGTAAGAAAATCAGCGAGTTGCTGGTTACCTGATCCCTTGTCATGCCCTGATTTGTTTACAGAGATAGCCCAGCCAGCCAAATAGTGGCATCAGAGGCAGTGTGAGTTGCAAAAAGGATTTAAGGAGGTGCGACAGAAAAAGAAAAACACTTTGTGAGTTTGTGCCAAGCCTTAGAGATCTGTTACTAACAGGTTAATTTTTAGACTTAACCTTTCAGGCATCAGAAGTAAACAAGGAATAAGGAAGCTTATTCCTCCTTCTTAGGAGAAGCACTATTTTAAATTCACTGTAGCCCAGTGCCCAAGTCTCAGCTGGTTCTAACTGTTACAGCCATCAGGGCAGCCAAATCCACTCCCAGCTGAGAAGCCAGCCTTGGCTCCCTGCCACTGCACACAATTACATGGGGACAAAGAAAAGCTCAGGTTAAGAACCTGCAGTAGCTCCTAGTCAATTATGTTGTTTAAACCCATTTTTCTCAGTCAAGACCCGAGGCCAGAAGAGTTGAAAAACACAGCTCTTCACCCTGGAGCTTCACATGAGTTTTGTAACCGTGAAATGCAGAATTTTAAAGAATATATAATCCAGATGAATAGAAATATCATAATTTATTCTGTTTGTATAAAAAAAGTTATAATCATGTAACAAAACTATGTCTTCATAAGAAGAAATATATTATTTCACATCATAAATAAATCAGCAAACATACAACCCTTGGCAACTCAAAAAAAAAAAGCACTCGCCTGGTGCTTTCATGTCAGTGCTTGGAAAACAAGAAGAGTTGACAGATATACACACACAGGATTATTGTACCAAAAAATTACTGAGGTATTTGGTTTCTCTAGAACTGAAACTTTACGTTTGTGAAGGCAAAAAAAAAAAAAGAACAAAAAACCCAGCAACAATGCAGTAATGTAAAAATAAATAAATAGGACTGTCATATAAAAGGGTTCAGCATCAGTGTTGCTCAAAGTGTCCAGGAGTGGGAATACTGGTGAGCATGCTACTAAACACGGAGCAGGCTTGGGACAGACAGAAGACAAGGAGGGACAGCTCAGGAAAGAGCCAATGTCCTTTGATCTCTGTGCAGACATCCAGACATTTGCTTGAGAAGTCAGAAGCACCCGGTTTCTCTGGCGCTGGGTGAGCTCCTCTCCACTGACGACACCGTTCTGGGACACGCCAATCACGCCCCACAAAACACAAACGACACTGTCCCCGTCGTTATTGCACTTCTGAGACAGCAAGTCTGAGTCCTGGCCACGGTTTTCACCTGCTTTTTCAGCAGCTCGGGGAAGTAGTGATGGGGCTCTGAAGGTAGTTTAAAGCACTGGAGGTGGTGTGAACGGGGATGGAGACGGGGAAGTTGAAGACGGTGGTGGTGGAAGCCCCTCTGTCCAACACTGACATCGCGGGGCTCCCGGCTTCTGCCGAGCAGTTGGGGGCCAGGACCTGCGACTCGAACTGCAGCAGCTGCCCCATGAAGCTGAAATTCGGGGAGATGATGCTTCTCCTCTGCTTGACAAACTCGAAGGCTTCATCCAGTTTGACTCTGTTGGTCCTCATGAGATAAGCGAGGCAGATGGTGGCTGAGCGGGAAATGCCAGCCTGGCAGTGCACAAAGACCCTTCCTCCCTCGTTCTTCACAGAGTCTGAAAGAATCAAAGAACGCAGTTAGCAAACAAGTCTCACTGCTCCCAGAGGTGGGAAAAGCACAGACTGCTGTTTTACATTTCTTTAATCCATCCCTTCCTTAGCCTAATAGGTGCACCCGGAGCTTTTGAGACAAAGGGAGTCTTTGTCCCGAGGAAAGCAGCTATTTTCACTCTGGGCTCCAATTCCAATTATACTAATAGCTCCTCCAGGTCACTTTAGCAGTCTTGCGAGATTACGTTAACACTGATCCGCTTAAATTCACTCTTTTCTGCAAGCCCAGTGCCTCTTGAATCAAGATTTCCAACAGCTTTACAAAGCTAAGATTATGCCTGTGAGGAGAATTAAACTGATGGAAACGGTCCCCGAATTTATCTTCCCAGTGAAATGCTATTCCCCAGTCTGAAGTGGAGGATTTATTGGGAAAAGCCACGCCAAAAAAACCCCAGGGGACATTAACCCATAAAAAGAGCGGATTGCAAAGAGAGCTAATTTACCGATGAAATCGATCGCCTCGTTGAACCAGGAGCTGATATCCGCCTTGTGGTTATCCTCCACGGGGATGCTTTTATACTGGTAGTGCCCCTCGAAGTGGTTGGGGCAGTTGGCCGAGACGTTGATCAGCGCCGTGATGCCCAGAGCGTCCAGCATGTCCTTGCGGGAGGCGTGATAGGCGCTTCCCAAGTACAGGAACGGCAGGATTTCCACGGGCCCGCCCTGCAAGAGAGAGGAAGGGCCGCGGTCACTCCCGGCCGGGGCTCCGCGGCAGCGCCCGCTGCCCGCGCTGCGCTCCCCGCGGGGCGCGGCGGCTCCGCCCGCCGCTCACCTGGTCGTAGAGCGGCGTCCCGCAGGAGCTGCAGCCCGAGTCGGCGCTGCCGGGCGCGGGGCTGGCGCTCAGGGGCAGGCTGAGCCCGGCGGGGGCGGCCGGCTTGGTGCAGAGCTCGGAGCAGGCGGACGCGAAGGCTTCGTAACCTCCTGCGGGGCAGAGCGGAGAGAGGGGCGCGGGTGAGCGGGGCGAGCGGGGCGGCCCGGCCCGCTCCCCTCCGGCTCCCTCCGCTCCCCTCCGGTTCCCTCCGGCCCCTCCGGCTCCCGCGGGACCACTCACCCTTGAGGAAGCAGATGCGGGCACCGCGGGCCTCCCTGCAGAGGGTGCCGAGCGCCAGCAGCATGGTGCTGTCGCGCTTGGGCACCTCCAGGTCGGCGCTGCGCTCGTCCAGCAGCACCACGGTGTGGAAGAGCCCCTGGCGCAGGCGGGCGCGGAGCTCCTCGTTGGGCACGACGTGCTCCAGAGCCAGGGCGCCCTTGGCGCGGCGCCGCACGATGGTGCTGAGGCGGACGTTGCAGGAGCCGCGGATGTGCGCGGCGTTGAAGGAGAAGAAGGAGCGGCAGTCCAGGACGAGGCACTGCGCGCCGCGCTCCTGCAGCAGCGCCCGCAGCGCCTCGCACTCCAGCGCGCACACCCGCAGGTTGACCATGGCCGGGCAGCCCGGAGGATGGATGAGGGAGGGCAGGGCGGGCAGGGCAGGGTGCGCGGAGGTGCCGCCGGCCCGGCTGTCCCGGCGCCCCGGCCGCTCCCGCGCTTATATGGGGCCGCGCCGGCGGGACGGCGTTTTCTCAATGGGCCGCGTCACGTGGGGGGCCGGCCGCCCGCATGACGTCACCCTGGCCGCGCGCCAGCGCGGGCGCGGCCGGGCCCGCCGGCGTGACGTCATCGGGCGCGGGGCGAGAGAGGGACAGAGAGAGAAAGAGTGTGAGAGAGAGTGTGAGATTGTGAGTGTGAGTGTGAGATTGTGAGTGTGAGTGTGAGATTGTGAGTGTGAGTGTGAGTGTGAGTGTGAGTGTGAGTGTGAGATTGTGAGTGTGAGTGTGAGTGTGAGATTGTGAGTGTGAGTGTGAATGTGAGTGTGAGAGATAGTGTGAGATTGTGAGTGTGAGTGTGAGATTGTGAGTGTGAGAGTGTGAGTGTGAGATTGTGAGTGTGAGTGTGAATGTGAGTGTGAGAGATAGTGTGAGATTGTGAGTGTGAGTGTGAGATTGTGAGTGTGAGATTCTGTGAGTGTGTATGTGAGAGATTGTGTGAGTGTGAGTGTGTATGTGAGAGATTGTATGAGTGTGAGTGTGAGTGTGAGACTGAGTGTGAGATTGTGAGTGTGAGTGTGAGAGTGTGAGTGTGAGATTGTGTGAGATTCTGTGAGTGTGAGATTGTGTGAGTGAAAGAGTGTGTTAGTGTGTGTTAGACCCCCCACAGCACACCTATACATGTGTGTGAGTGAAAGTGTGAGTGTGAGTGAAAGAGTGTGAGTGTGAGAGAGTGTGAGAGAGTGTGAGTGTGAGATTGTGTGAGAGAGTGTGTGTGTGAGTGAGTGTGAGTGTGAATGTGAGAAAGTGTGTGAGTGTGTGTGACTGAGTGTGACGGTGAGACTGTGTGTGTGTGTGTGAGTGTGAGTGTGAAAAGGTGTGAGTGTAAATGTGAGACTGTGTGTGTGTGAGATTGTGTGCCAGAGTGTGTGTGTGTCAGCACACCTATACAGACCTATACAGACCTATACATGTTTGTGTGTGTGTGACCCTCCAGAGCACACCTATACACACCTATAAACATGTGTGAGTGTGTGTGAGACCCCCCCACTGCACACCTGTACACACCTGCACACACTTGTGCACACGGCACACACGGCTGTACTACACCCCCCCCGTATAAATACATAGAAATATAAAATATTTTATAAATATATAAAATATAAATATCAATATATAAATGTTTTTCTATAAATACATTTTATATTTATGTTATATTTCTATATTTATAAATATATACATGTTTATATAGAATATATTAAATATATAACCATGTAAATAGCTATATAAATATATAAATATAGAATAATATATAAAATATAAACATAAAATAAAAATATACAAAAATATAAATATGATATATACATATAGATAATATATACATATATATATCATGTATATACATATATATAATATATGCATGTATATATACATATATCTGTATATACATATATACATATATATATACATCTACATACACCTATATATGTGTATTTTTATGTACACATGTATGTATGTATGAATAGGTATGTGTATGCATATGTGCCTATGTGTATATATATGCCTATGTATTTCTAAATATGTATATATATACGTGCATACGTATCTGTATGGGGGTATATATACAAATATATATATTTATATAATTAAATCTATTTATAAGTATATTTATAAATGTCTATAATTATATTTCTTATATATATATAATATAATTATTTTTTATATACTATATGGTTGATGAAAAACCCTGCATAAGGAATCCCCCGTGCCCTGGGCTGATCCCCCAGCAGAGGAGGGGGCAATTCTGCCCCTCTCTTTGCTCAGGTGAGGGGGTGGAACAAGATGATCTTTAAGGTTCATTCCAAGCCAAACCACCCTGCGACTCTGAAAAATCACATATTCACACACAAAAACACACATTCACACACAAAATCACATATTCACACACAAAATCAGTCACATATTCACACAAAAAATCACATATTCACACACGAAATCACATATTCACACACAAAATCACATACTCACACACGAAATCACACATTCACACACAAAATCAATCACATATTCACACACAAAATCAGTCACATATTCACACACAAAATCACATATTCACACA